GTAACCCCGACTGCTACGGGAGGAGAACCGACCGCGGCCCTTCGCAGCCTCTAGTGCATCAGGCTACTCGAGCATGCGACGACCGAGATTAAGCGTACGAGGAAGCCACCGTATAATCTTCACGCAGTGCGAGAGTCAACTCTTCTTCAAGGGTTTTGGGCTTGGCGCGAGTGAGACAGTACTGCGCCATATCTTCGCGCATATCGAATACGAAGACGTGGACATGAGATGCCATGTCTATCGGGCTCGTGATGACGCGTGAAGCCAGGTGTCGTGGCTTCTGAACGTAGTCGCGCATTGTCATATTCCCCTATTTTAAGGTGAAGAGCACTGCTCGCATACGCGAACCGTCTTTCGGTGGCTCCAACGCAAGTAGGGAGACTCTCGAGAGTCGGGAACGCGTTTGGGTCGACTGCAAACTTGCCGAGGGCCAATTCCTTAGCCTTGCCAGACAAGCGGGACCAAAGAAAGTTGATCTTCGATTGTGGTGCTTCGATCAGCCGCGAAGCGATCGTGATGTCAATCTCACGGAGCCAGCGATTCAGGGGCAGCCGGACTTGACCAATACCGGAGTACGTCGACGTCTCCATCTTGACGGCGTCATCCCATGAGGAATGTGAGGTAGTTCATACTCGCCGCTTGACATCGGCGACCTCCCGTTCCTTGAACGCTTGAACAGCCTGACGTTGCTGCTTGACGGTTGCTAAACTGAGCAGCCACGTGACGACGAGCTCGCCGGACACGTCGGCCAGCCGATGCAGGGCTCCCACTCACTCCACGTCAGAGGCGGGTAGTTCTCGTGTTTGAGGGTCATACTTGACATCCGGACTTGGCCGTCGAAGACTTGGTCGTTGGAAGGACTAGTAAGTGCTACCAGGTGTAACGGAGCCAGAGCAACCTACTGGCATACACTATTAATATGAGTAAGCTCGCAATACTGAACTTAATACCTTAGAATAAGGTAAATTCAACTCTGATTTAGATTAGATCCTGGATGAAGACCCTGGCCTTTTGTGAGCCACTCAATAATGTGTCAATTGCTACAGGCCTAAAAGTTTCCCCTTTTCAGCCAATCCGATAGAGACAACACAGCGCGCGCTATCCGCGTGCTTTTGCATCTACTTTGTTATATAAAACTATGTTCCTCTACCTACATTTGTTACTTAAATGTTGCCTGTCACAGGCTTAACTGGTTCGCTGTCGGGCTTGCGGCCAATGGACCAGGTGCCAAATGTGCTCTCGCGCAGAGTGGGCGGTGGGATAAAACCTCAAGAACTTAGTGGGGTCTGGAACGAAATCCCCTTAGCACTTACTGGCAGGATAAAGTCCCTCAAGCTATAAGCTTCCCCCTAAACAGCTCCAGGAATCTCGGGCTATCTGTGTATATGGGGCTTGCTATCTACTTATGCAAGCTAAGACGAATACACGCAGCGTACCTTGAGTAACGCGGCGTTCCGCGGCTTCCGTTTCGAAAATGATAGCAAAACGAAATTTTAACGATACATTTAAGTACGATGTGTAGACAACATACATTGTGTACACCACATATTGCAATATTAACAAATCGACGCAGCCTTCGCCGCTCTCGACAGCCAGTAAAACGCACGCATTAGCGTTACATAAATTAGCCCTAGCCCGTTACGGACGGACGTAGGGACAGATGCACGTATCACGCCTGAGTACGCTTCCGTTGAGTCGTATAAGTGGTTGGTGTACATGATCATCCTGGCTTCGTGGTTCCCTACGCACCCGCGGCTCACTGATTATGCGATCTCTCTTTAAGACATTTTTCTCGTCCGTAGAAGGGATCGCTTTCGTGGGTGCTAGCTATTCCGCGATTCCAAATGTTTACGTGGGCTCCACACGTTTCGTGATGCATAATCGTTAGTGGCCCATGGCGTCCCATCGTCTGTACCCTGATCGATTGGTGCTCTTTCGTCGGCTCGGCGTGTCCACGTAATGTTGCAGTCGCGTCGCTCTTATATCACGCTCTCCTAGTGTGGCTGCGTCAATCGCTCTACCGTGGTGTCATGGTGTAACTCAGGCGTCTATGCTATCGCGGTCGCATAGTGTACAGCAGTCGCCCGTGTTGCCGTGTTCTACCGTGGTGTCGTGCCATGCAGCTAAGTACTTTGTTTTTCGAAATTACGTGCCCCCCCCTCCCCCGAGGTTTGGGGTTGGTCCACTGCTCAAACTATTGTGATGTGGCGGCTCGTCTGTCGTCCGTGTTATCGTGTCTTACCGGAGTATCGTGATGTGATGCCCGGTGAGCGTCTACCTGATATTGTGCTCCAATGCTCGGCGTTTTCCCGTTTATGGTCTCCCGTGGTCTCGTGTTAGTGGCTGCAACTCTAATTGAGGATGGCAACCTGCCTCAGCATCGCGATCTATTGCTCTTAACACGTGGGCATAGGTTGCTTCGTTTGTACGAGACCGACGTCGATTACAATTCGCTCCCATATCCCCTGTACGGAGAGAAGTGCTGGCCCTACATAGACGAGTGTGTGAGTGGCACCGAGTATCGAAACAAGAAGAAGGTGTCGACTCGTGAACACGTCGCGTTTCGCCTACACCAAAACGTGGACGATTAGTCCACTCCCCACCAGAACGGACGACTATTCTAACAGTGGTGTGGAGATCAGCGTGCAAAATGTGAGCAGGAACGTCTTCGGTGGGTGGTCGACAATCATAGAACACTTCGCGCAGATCAATACAGGTGTCTTTAGGACGGTTTGTCAACGAGGATACTTAGGCTCTGGCGAAAGGAGGAGTGCTACTGTCGGAATACGCCCGGGCCGAGAACGGATTGGTGTACCCGAACCGGAACGGAGAAAAGCAGTGGACGACCAATCCACATTTTTAATCAGGTTGGCAAACGTATCATCCTTCTAGTTACGAGCCTAGGCAGTCCATGGTCAATGTACAAGTCGTATCAAGATTCGATGGTAATTGTTCGGAAATATGGAGGACCCGACGTACTCCTGACCGGAACGTGCAACCCCAAGTGGGACGAGATTCTTGAAGCAATAGTTTCTGAGATCCTGATCGCTCAAGAATGCCCAGACATTGTGACTCGCGTATGGTATCAGAAATTAAATGCGACGCTTGACAGGTTAAACGATGACGTCCTGGGGCGAGTGCGAGGGCGGATTAACGCGGTCAAATTTCAGGCTCCCCTACGCTCACGTCTTAATTATTTTAAGGCCTCGCGAGTCTGAAAGTAAGCCTGATTCCAAGCCAGCAGCCACCTCACCCCGCAGCTTCTTGCAAAATCCAGCATAATATGTTGCACCACGTTGATGCCCAACGCGTGTCGATTTTTGATTCCGACGACAGCATTACTATATGATTTCTAGTCCACTAGTCCTCACTTGTTGCTTCGATATGCACCTGATCCATGCCATGGTCCTCGACTATCTCTTGGAGGGGTGTTTGTGTGTATTCATTTAACTCTAGCGGAAACTCCGTATATTTAGCGCTAAACGCAGTCAACAAATCGTTAAAAACCAAGAGACTTATTCGCGATTGAACTGCCAATGAAACGACAGTTTATCGTCCTTCAATTGCTCGTATTCCTAAGTAAAGCGAAGATTTTGCATTCCTCTTGGAGTGTCGTAAGGGTGGCAATATTGCATTGTCATATGCCTCGCACCATCATGCAGTTGGGTTTAGACGCCCGAGTCGGACTTCGATGTTGCCGATTCCAACGATAACCTTTAAAAACGAGGCAACGACAACAAGGATGACGACGCCATGCAGGACGACAATAACCCAACAGACAGCAAATTCAACTCCAGCAGCGCATCAAGCCACCGCCGCACGCTGCACCCACCCAACGCCTTCGCTAACACCATCGCTGTAGCCACCAAGTCGCGAATAATGCAGCTATTCTACCCAAGTCTCCCATTCGTCGAAAATACAATTTCAGACTGTGTCGCCATTTCCATTTCAACCGGCCTAAAAGTCCTGCGCCGCCCGTGACGGGTTCACGTGCCGAGGTGCATCTGTACGGCGCGACTATCACGTATTTCTACGCAGCACCGGGGCCTGAGCGCAATGAGCTTTTCCTGTCGTCAAAGTCACAGGAGGGATTCCCCAACCACGGCTCAGTAACTGGAACTTGAGCCAGCTGGATCAGACCGTAGGCTGACGAAAAGAGCCCCACAGTCGCCACTTTTGCGCTCGATATCCCGTCGAACATGTACCTGCACGACTTTGGACTCGTCAAAATTTTTGCTACTGCTCTTGCTACAGCTGTCCACATCGAGAACAAATAGGAGGGCGAGACCGCTTTCCAGACGCTGCTTCACACGTATTTGTCGGCGGACGATGTGCGTGACGGATCCGTCGTGGTCGAGGGCCTCAAGGGCCTCACGTACCACGACAAGGTTGCGGGTCAGGAGAATTGTGAGGAGCGCGACATGCTGACCCTCGACCAGGAGACGGTCAGCGTCTAAGCTAACGCCCCGTCGCCTGTCGTGGTGGCATGAAGCGTGCAGACGGCCACGAACAAGTCGTGACCGTTAAAAGGAGGGATTCATAAAGAGCAGCGCCACACAGCAAAGCGACGAGGTCGTGTGGAACCCGTGGATCCACGAGGCCAAGGGCATGAGCGACTTTGGAGCTGACGAGTACCCCACCATGCGCTGCGTCGTGTCAGCAAACAGCAGAAGGTCCCAGCTGGACAAACCTTCACGCTGCAGCAGGCCATCAAGCTGCCAGCACTGTCTTTGATGATGAGACAGCAGGCAAGTAGCACACGATGACAGCAGCCCAAATGGAGTCGACTGTCGTGGAATACTACCTTTAGTGGCGTTCTTGGTCAACTTTGTATTTGCATTTATTAATACTAGTTAGTGCTAATAAAAAACATCTTTTTCGGTGTGACCCTGTCTCCGTCTTCTCTCCAAACGCTCGCTGTTTTTAGAGCGAAACTCATGGAGCTGCTCAGCATTTTATACTTGAAGAGTTAGTTGCCAAAGAAGCAAACGATTGTAGCGATGAGTCTGAGCGCTCGAACACGCTCGACCACGAGTCGCAGCTCGTTGCCCCATGGCGGTGGTGGATCTCGACGCTATCGGCGTGTGGCGCACACGCACCAGGTGGACGACACGCTTTTTGGCGAGAAGAATCAACTGGCAAAGAACCGCAAGAAGGATCGTACGCTTCAGGCTGGAAGGTACGTAGGCCGATTATAATAAAAATGCAGAGAAGAGACCATTTACGAACTACTCCACGTTGATGACAGAGACATTGTGGGCGCCCAGTCAAGTGCGTCGTCCAACCAAGAAACAAGCGGGTCCGAAGACACGTCGTCATTTGGCCGCCATGTCACTAAACGAGCAGGAAGGAGAATGGTGACGAAAACCCCGATCGTGGTCGTACCCGAGGACGAATTGGAGCGCATCAAAGCAGAGACGAAAATCCTGACTGCGGCCGATTTGGAGGCGCTGGAGGCCAAGCGTGAGGCCGATCAAGAGCACCAGCGACTGGCATCAAAAGCTCGAAAGGAGCACATGCTAAAGCTCAGTGAGGAGGCAGCACTGCGCGCCCCCAAGAGCGAGATTGAGCAGATTTTCTCAGCTGAGAAGCAGGAAATCTTGCGTCGTGCTCGAGTGCAGAAGGACCAGATGCACGACAGTGTCAAGTTGATGAAGACCCTGGGTACTCGTGCTCAAGCCTTCACGATCCGTGACCAGCAGCTCAAGGTGAAGAGCGAGCTCGAAGACGAACACCACGTGTACGACGAGAAGATGAACACTTTGATGGAGATCGAGCGTCTTGAAAGTCTCAAGCGACAAGAACACCGCGATGAAGTCAAGAAGCAGAAACGATACGCAGACCGCAAAGTCCTCGAAGATCAAATTGAAGATCGTCGTCGTCAACGCCAAAAGGAGAGCGAGATCGTCGCCCAAGAGGCTCAAGAAATGCTGGCGAAGATCCAGCGTCAACAGGAACAAGAAGTCGAGAAAGAGAGAGCGAAGGCTTTGCGTACTCAACGCTCCATGGAGGAGATCAAAAGGTTTAACGAGGATACACTGAGACGCAAGCAGGAGGTACAGCGTAAGATAAAAGAAGAAGAAGATGCAGTGCATGCGTATCAAGTGAAAAAGGCCGAGGATCTCAAGCTGCGAGAGGAGGAGGAAGCGCAGAGACGACATGAAGCGGAACTTCGTTGTGCCAAGTTGCGCTCGATGCAGGAGAAAATGGCCAACGAGAAGGCAGAACTGGACGAGCTGCGTGCCAAACGAGCTGCTGAAGCGCGGGAACGACAGGCTCGCGAAGCTGACATGGCCCTGGCCAGGAAGCATAAAGAGGAGATGGAAGAACTACGGCGAGCTCGTGAAGCCCAGGCGCTGCATCGTGAACGTGCTCGTGTTAAAGAGGCGACGATGCAGCAACGCGAGTACGACTCGATCATGGTGCAGGTCGAGTCGGACAAGACTCGAGTCAAGGAGGAAGACGAGAAACGCAAGTTGGCCAGTATGGCTCATCGTCGCGTGCTGCAGTCTCAAATCGAAGAGAAGGAATGTTTGAAAAAGCTCTCGTTTATCAGGAAACAGGAGGAAGGTCAAGCACTCAAGGAGGAATATGCAAAAGAGCTGGAAAAGCTGGAGAGGATTCGGATGGAGGAGGTTGGCGAGCTAGTCGAAGCGGGTGTGAATCCGTTGTACTTGTCTGAGATGAAGGCCCTTGTCATTGAAAAGCAGATTCGGTAGACAAAGCAACAGACAAGCAAAGGCCAACCCTACGATATAACCATTTTATCAAGTATTTTCACAGTACAGTAGAGAGATCTGAATGAATTGCTTTAGGTCTTGATTATCTACATGTATCGGCTAAGACGAGAAGAGAACCATGCAGGGGTGAGAAAACAAACTACCATGGCAATATACCTACGCTAGTACAACAATGGGAACAAGCAAACCCGAATAATGCTAGACGGTTTAACAGATATAAACGTGAAATAACCAGTAATACTTGAACGATTTTGCTAATTCTGCGTAGTGCGTCACTACAATATCGCGAAGTATGCATCGCCAGAAGCTTCAGTCCACCTTGGTGCTGAGCGCGAGAAGAGGCTTTTGCGCTTCGACAGCAACGATTATCGCGACGATGACGGTGAAGAGGAAAGGGCGAATGGTGCCAAACTCTTCAACGTCGACAAGCTAACGGTGTATGTAAACAAAGCCCAGAAGCGAACTGCCAACAATGTGAGTGGAAGCCTCTTGAATTATTTTAAGAGATTGGAAGCATACGGCTACAACCCTGTCAAACTCGGTAACATAATTCCTGACGAGGAGTACGACAATCTCCGTATGCTGTACCGCAGCTGGTACTACCACAACAAGTAACCGGATGACTACAAGCTCATTGTGAACAATCATCTTCTCCACTGGATGGTTTGGCTTCGTAACTATTGAATACAGCAGTTACCTCGGCTGCAGCGTTGCTTTATACATGATGATGATGGTGTCTTGCTGTTGAAGACGTAGTAGGCGATGAGCTTATAAAACTTTTTTACACCTTGGCTAAGCGCAGCAATATCACACGAAGAATGTAGACCCAACACGATAAAACGCTGGTAAACTGTACGAGATGGTATTTCGTGTAGCTGATTGGGTAAACGAGTTCGTATAATGTATCTGCGACAAGTGCAAGACCATGTTAAGCTTAGTGAATCTACAAGCGCTGTAAACGCACAAGTAAATAAGCATCGCCATCGTCAAGAAATCCACATTCAAGGCTGTAGGTGACGATGTTTGAGCGACCAGTAGTCTAATACAGCTAGAGATGTTCACCCCATGCAGTGCTTCTTCTGTTCCATCAAACGTACCATAAGAAATGTGTCGCCTGCACCAGAGCCTCAATAAACATGTATAACGACGATAGACTGCGGTAGAATTAAATGACTGCCTGTCTGTTCTAAGCACATGCTTCATTATCAATGAAATAAACCGAGCGAGCTAAGAAACACTAGCAATTTCCTGTTCCAGCGGCCTAAATTGGACATTGTTACCACTAAGGCTGTACGGGACCCCGCACAAAAGGTCACTGGCTATAAAGAAGAGTGCGATAGGTGCGAGTACCCATCTTCCTTCCAGAAAAATATTGTTCGATATAAATGGACGGCGTTACTGCAACTCGTCAACGACAAGACAACAGCTCTTATAGCAACGCAACAGACCACATCGACACAAGGAGAGCCACAGAGAACAACATTTGCTAAATAAAATACGCTCGTGGCGTAATTTAAAAGAGATAAATGACGGGAACCGTAAAAGTTTCTGGCCCCCTATTGTGAATTTCTTAGTAGATCGCAGTCGGCCGTTTTAAAGGAGACAAGTATGAGCGAAGACGACATCAGCCACGCCAGCCTTCTTAAGAGCGCTATTGCTAGTCACCCAGCGCCTTCGGGGTATCTAGAGCTAACTGCAGCTCGCCGTGGTGAAGCGGAGACTCTTCAAACTCACCAGGCCAAGCTTTGCCAAAAGCTGCTTCAGTCCCGGCTTCAGCAGATTGAACTAATGGAAGGGAAGCTTGAAAAACTGGCCAAGTACACGGCGAAGCTGTTAAATGCGCACGATGAGCTAGCTACATTGATCTCACTCGAAAAGGAGGAAACCACCCGCATTGCAGCCGTGACGGGGGTTCCTATTCGCAGCTCAAAGTACGTCATGTCTTACTCGGTTGTGCTGGAGGAGTGTTGCAGCTCAATGTTAGGCCACACGCAGCATTGAGAATTTGAGGACCAGAGTGGGGTTATTGAGTAAGAAGTTTACAATTAATTGGCTTCCGAAACACAACATGCTACGTCTTAATTGTCGCCAGTAATTCCAGATCTGTGTCTTGGACCGCCTTCGCTACCTTGTTTTTTCTCGTGGTTACCTCGGGTTGCCTTAAGATCATCCACATAATGCGAAGACGCATAATAGTGACGTCGTCATGGCTTACAGCACATCGGGTAAATTGCGAGCTATTTTTAAGCATCGTATACACTTGGGCGAGAACTAGCACACCGCAAGAAGTTCCGTCGGGCTGCTTCGGTCCGGAAAGCCACACGGTCTCCTCAACGATTGGATATGGCTCTCCCAGCATGGTGGAATCGTGCCAAACTCTTAAAAACTCGGCCACTACTGCCTCGTAGGTGTGCTCAAGAGTGTCGTTGTATGATGTAGAGCACAATGGTTCGTAGAAATACGGTGTGACTGTCGCCATTGCCGTCCGGTATGAAATACTGACAATAATCACACCCCAGTGTATGTCGCTCAAATGGACAGGCAACACAACGTACTTGCAGCTATCAATAGGGATTTCTGGTGGCCTCGGACAGCCCAATGACGGTGCGAATGAGTCCAAAGCATAGCAGCTACCAATCGATTCGCAAATGCATCGAATTCCGAAGTCGATAATCGTATCACTCAGCATACGATCTCGGGCAATCATGCCAACCATTTTCTCCACCATGACGGTTCCCTCGCCACAATCAAGCCGAAAGATTGAGCTTAGACAAGCGCTTTCCAGCACACGCACGATGTCGTCCGCCAGTTGTTGATGTCTCACTGGAACAACGTCAGGCATTAGAGCAGCAGTTCCGGTCTCCTCGTCGAATATCTCCGGGTGTGCGAGGATCTTTTTCCACTTTGTCGATAACAGCCACTTCACATCTGCCATCCATGAATTGAACTTCTTGACAAGACTGAAGTACTCAACCATTCTGAAGACCCCACCACTAGTAGCAACACAGAAAGCAACACACCCCGTGAGCAACACATTAAGCAACACAGAGCTCCAGCAGCACATGAAACAGCACATGAAAAGCACAAACCTAGTAAAGCGCGGGGTACCACCCGGAAAGAAAGCTAAGACTTCGTTCGTGGACCCCTCCGGATGTTCGACATCTTGATGCTCATTGAAGTACTTTGATCCTTGACGTTTCTTCTTTTCGACAGCAACCACAGCGTTCAATTTAATGACAAGGTTCTGAGGAATCACGAAATTGTAGTCATAGTCAGCCGTACAAACTAATTCACGACAGCTGCGAGGAGTTCGGGCGCTCATGAAATCGTCATCCATGATCACAGGGTAGTTTCCGAGTATCTCGCTCACGTGATACGGGTCAGTCGTGTGGTTCGCCCATTCCAATAGTCGCGAAAGTGACGGTACGTTTTTGTCCGGAAGCGCAATAGCAGCCAGTTTCTGGGGCCTTTCGTGCTTTACTAATTTGCGCTGTGTCAGCTTCTTCCTCTTATTGTGTCGAGGCTTGGGGTGAGGGATACGAAGAACTTCAAGTCCGCAGTTAGCGGTGGCTTTCGCTTCACTGCACTTCCTGGGTGCATGTGCAGCCGCTTTAGCTGGCTCATTGTGAGCTTCAAGACGCGTATCGGTTTGGTGGTCGGCCGACGGTAACGCTACTTGGACCTTCAATGTTTGTGTTGCACTCGGTCCTTTTGTCATCGTAAATTTGTGTATGGCTCCATCCCCCGTCTGAGGTGAATTTGGCGATTTCATCTGCCGGATAAAATCCATAGTATCAATAAGTTCTGTGGGCTCAATTTCCGATGCGGCATCTGATAAATAGGAATTGTCGGGTTTGTCGTCCTCTTCCGGCAAAGTCGTTGTATCTGATACCGATCCAGCTCCAACACCTTCACGTAGCTCACGTTGAACCAGTTCCTTCCAGGCATGCAATGCTGTGCAGAAAGCAGGGCTCGACAGACCTGAGAGACGCTCCATCACGGGCTCGAATACTGCTTTTGCATAGCAGTACTTCTCCTCGGTTGACATAACAACAACATTTGCTCGCTCGCGGCGACGCAACTTCACGTAGATGATTCGGCGTTTCGATTTAACGCGCAGTCTTGTCGTTTTGGTATCTCCTAGCTCTCCTTTCACTTGTGTTGCTTCGTGTGTTGCTTCGTGTGTTGCACCACTCGGTTGTGTAGCGTCCTGTGTTGCACTACTCGGTTGTGTTGCTGATAATGTTGATGCAGAATCCTGCTGCTGGACCGCGTCGAAGGCATCGCTGGCTACTTTCATCGAAGTTTGAACGTCCTGGAGGGAATAGATACCCGCTTGAAACGCCTTTTCCATTGCCGCCATTTCCAGCATGTCCCAGCGTGGAGCAATCGTCAATGCCGGAAGATACTCGAACCGGTGAACGCGGTCAGCAATGTACATCAAGTGTTGACACGGAAGGTGATTACTTCGATAGAATAGGCATGTACACGTCCACTGATAGTCATTGCAGCGATATGTGCGCCCCTGCGTAGACAACATCCACTCTCCCACTTCCACGTTTTCTTTCTTGCACGTAGCTTCCGCCAGATATACCATGAAGTGCTCCCACTGAGTGCGCACTTTTGTAAACGAAGCATCGCTCAGGTGCTTTGCCACAACTACAAGGAAGTCTGGGACAGAGTCAGGTTGCCGCGAGGTCACGGAGTGCTTGCGAATTGAAGCAAGTAGCTGTCGAATAACTGTCGTTTGGTGAGCTAGAAGCCCTCCAATCGTCGCATCAATACGGGGCCTTTTACCGAGGAGCAGCTTCACCTGATTCCAGTTGGACTCAATTCGATTGGTGGTGGTATTGCCTGCAGAAAAGTACGCCCCACGGAGATAATTTGCCCACATCGAATCGCACGTTTTCCAATTCCGCAAAAAATAAGCAAGTAGCTTAGGGCACTTCTCCTCGCACGTTCTTGTGAATGCTGCCAAC